TAAGCATCATTGGGGACCCGTGTTTCCGCCCCCGCCAAAAACCCGCGCCTGGGGGGGGATTAGCCCGAAAACGCGCGCAGAAAATGCCCACCTGGAAGGGGGCCCTTCCCCACACCCCTAGATGCAACCTTTCGGTTGGTAAGGAACTCAGCTAGCCACGGAGGCTAGCTTTCGTGACTTACTGAACAAAGAAAAAAGGGGCCTCATCGAAGTCATCACCCAGCAACCCTGACGCCTCAGGGTGATTCTGAATGGCACGCGGAAATCTGCGGAACTCTCTGAGTTGTTTCGGCATCCTTCCGTCCTGCCTGCTTGAGGGCGTCCACCAGTGGCCCGTTGTGGTTGTGATAGCCTCACTGACCCGAACACTCCTGCCCGTCCTGCCCTCCCCTTTTAACTCATGCTGCAGGGTGGCTCTCTCTGCCCAGATAGTTGAGGGTGAAGTCCTGGGCCATCTGCTTTCTCAGTCGACCGAAAAACACGGAACACCCCAACACCCTGCCAACACCCCTTGGGGCTCACCTTGGCCAAGCCAGTAAGGCCTTTCTGGACTCCGAGGATGCTCAACCAGTCGTTTCCGAATGCTTCTGCTTTCTTTGAAGCAGAGTCCTGGTCCATGTCGTGACTCTCGGGTATCTTCATGTATCTTCAGGTGTCTTCACGTATCTTCATGTGAGCATCTTCATGTATCTTTCTGTCTGGTTATGTCATCCTGGATCGGGATCCTCCTTCTTGGCCTTGAGCTCCTCGGCCAATCCGTTGAACAGCTCCAAACCAGCGCTGTGGAAAGTCTTCACCTCCGGAAGCCGCCCCAAAGTCAACTGAGCAAAGTCGAACAATCCCACAACAGTTTGCCACAGTTTTTTTGCAAAAAGTGCAATGCACTTCTCGACACTCTGCCTTGGTCAGCACGTCGACAAGGGAGGCTGAAACCTCGCCCTCAGCACGTGTCTTTAGATGTCTATATCATAGTTTCCATGAAACAATACGCAAGACAACTCTAACAGACTCGAACATTTTGTCCAACAGACTCGAACATTTGCCTAAAGACAATGCCGTCGACGCGATTTCGTCAGACTGCTACCGTCCCGGATCTGTTGCGGATCTGGGAAAGTTCTGGGGGCTGGGCGATGCAAAGTGCAAAGATGGCACAGCGACAAATAATGAGCATCGCGAACAGATGCCAACAGCCATTAAGCCAAAGCTTGAATGGTCAGCACAGTCAGCAAACGTGCGACGTGAGCACCAAAAAGCAACTCTGGAGCAACATAAACCCACAACATCACAAGCCAAGCGCTTTCATGTGGAAATTTGTGCTGGGCAGCACAGCTTCCGACCTTGAAGCGTCTTCTGGAGCACAAAGCTGTCGCCGTTGTAGCCGTTGAAGCTGTTGTAGCTGTTGTAGCTGTTGGCGTGATTAGTAAAACGGCCCCCCTAATGTTACTAGAGAAGAGTCGCCCAAACTTACCAAACACAACAACTCAAAACATGAAGAGTCGCACGCGGCTCCAAAACCCGCGAACGTAAACTGCGCAGCATTTTGATGCCAGCATGTGGTTCACTGTGGTTCTTTGAACCGGCTGCAACGTTGGAACAATGGGGCACGCAACGCCTTGGGCGTTGATGATTGCTGGGTATGTGTGTGTATATATATATATATACAAAACAAGTGTGATTTATATAGATGCACACAAAACATCATGCACTTGCTCTTTCGCTCCTTGAAAATCAGAAGGTGGTTCTGCCTGGAATTTTTGCACGAACATGACTAGACACGTACTTAATTTCATACTGCCCTGTCTAACGCAGGATGCAATTTGATGCTTATGCAACGCATGCAACATCTTGTAGATATCTCCACACACGTGATTGCATCGGTTCCAAGGTTCTCACCACCGCTCCCTCTGCTCCCTCTGCTCCCTCTGCTCCCTCTGCTCCCTCTGCTCCCCCGCCCCAACTCATCCCCTTCCAGCAGCCTTCCAGAGCCGCCCCCTCATCTTTGCATGTTCTGTGTTCATCCCATCATGCTGACACACAGACACAGGCATAAACATGTGACGCAGACACGCATAGCTGCCCTTAGGGTCAGCTGCAAAGTCTGCCCGGGACGTTTCGGCTGCCCACGGCTTTGTCCTCGAGTGTTGCCGCAGTCCGCTCTCGATTCTCAATCCAATTCGCCACGAGGATCAGTCTTAGGCTGCCATTAAGATCACTGAAGCATCCATTGAAGCTTAAAGTAAGTGCAGCTCTTGGTCCTTTCAGCGAAGGCGTCCGAGGCCTTGTCGAGCCCTTGAAAACCGAGGTGGAGCCAGAAATTATCATGAATCTGAATTCGCCAATTATCGGAATTAAGTATCGTGCTCCAAGACACCCAGTGGCGATCACGCATCAAGTAGCACTTGCATGCACTTGCTGTGCCTCGGCAGCGGCGGTCGTGGCCATGGAGGGGGCCGCACCTGGGCCAGAGATGGCTGGATTGACAGTTTCAGAATGGCTGCAGAATCGTTACAGATCGGAGATAGAATGGGAATAGAATGGGGATAGAATCGGATAGAATGGACAGATACGGCTGAGGGCAGTGCCGCGGAGGGAGACCCAACCATTGAGCTTCTCCAAAAAGTCTCAGCCTTGTTGGGATGCCAGCCATCTGTCGCAGCCAGCCTGACCAGTTCACAGCAAGTTCACAGCTTCTTTTGTTCACATGGACACCTCGTTTCGGTGCAAGTTCGGTCCGCGTTGCCTTGCATCGCAGCTCTTTCTCGCCTGCAAGAACTCCGACTGGGTGCTCGTTCAATAGTTGAGATTTTGTTAGTAAAACACAGATGGATGACCTTGAGTTACCACTTACGCATACCTCTGAGACGGTCAGGCGTATAAATCTTCGCCACGGTGAAAAAAGTGTTGGAGCGGGTCGACGGACGGACGCGTGTCGCGGACACGTGCAAAAGCCGAAGATGACAAAAGCGGTCGTCCATGATCTGCTGGAGAAGCTCCGCACATGACAAGAGAGAAACACCAAACATCATACCATACAATTCTTTCAGAACTGGCTTGAAGAGCAACAAGGTGACACGCGTCGATGCAATTTTTTGAGCAGCACCACACAGCCAGACGTGCGTCGGCACTAGAAAGACTGGTTCCCAGAACGGGTTCTCAGCCGTCTCAGCCTTTAAACACGACGCAGACGCTGACTCAGGGCCAGCGGGCCATCATGGGCCTCGATCTCCGACTGCATGCACCACGACATTCGCAGATCATAATTGGTCTCTGAAATGAATCGATAAGAATTCAACTGCAACCTGTACTGAACGCCAGAACAATCATCCAGAGGATCCCATCGAGTGCACTTCGGATCCCATGGTTATAATACCCGTGGTTTTCGAGCGCACGGAATTCGGATCCCGTGGCTCTTCGGATCCCACGGTGAAAGATCTTGCTCCGCAGGTTCTGCATTGTCCTCGTGACGTTGTCTCACTCAGGTCGGCCCGGTCGGCTCTGTCATGTGCTAAAGCAGGCCGTTGGCGCCCAACACGTCACACGTCTGTCAGTTCCTTCTTCTTGTCGTGCTTCCAAGGTGATTGTTCCACTCTTCTTGTCCAACATATTCAACGCAGTGACATGGGAGTCGTCACACTCTTCCATTCCCATGTCGGGACGAAACTCGTAACGCTATTTGAGCACGCTTTTCTGTTATCCGCTTCTTCAACTTACATCTTAATCTCTTCAATTTGCTGTTTTCTGCTTGCTACTCCGAACCTATCTTCAACATCGCAATACATACCAACAGCAGGCATACGCTTCATTTCAGGTTGTTCTTTAACATACTCATCTGACTAACAACAATTGAGAAAAAAACAGAACAGAAAAAGAAACATAGTATCAACAAGTAAAACACGTTTGCCTTAAAACTGTTGATTTTCTCTCTGTGTGCTAGTACTTCTCTCGCTTTTGGTGTTCGTTGTTGCCGCCTTGCAATAACTTGGATGCGTGTGTGTGCGCGTGTGTGTGTGCGCGTGTGTGTGTGTGTGTGTGTGTGTGTGTGTTAAGCTTGTTGGTGTCATTTCTCATTCCTGTCTTTGCATTCAACCAGCAGTCTTTGCATTCAACCAGCTCCGCCACTTTCACGCTTCTCGCTTGCTTCTTCGGTTTTGCTCTAGGCTTTGCTTCATCGCTTTTGACATCCTCTTAAGCTTCTTCTTGTTTAGGTTTGCTCGTTGCACCCTCGCGACTTCTTCAACTTGCTTTCTGGCTTTTCGTCAATAGCCTCGTTAGCCACTTCTGCAGTCTCTGCTTCATGTTTAACCTCTTCAACCTCTTCACCACTCATTATTCACGACACTACATTTCTCAAATATGAAACATTGCTAACCCCTAACAAATTGTTAAAGTGAAGGAGATGTCGGCATCATTAACAAATCACTACCTGACCTGAATTATTCGTGAGGCTAATTTCAACCGGCGAAGTCCCGCTAACATCAATGTAATCAACAGTGCTTGACTCCCTATCGTGAATAACACCAAGATAGGGAACTATTGATGAATTGCCAGCCACTGGTAACTGGTTGTAGTTGCTAAATCCAATACAATGCAAATACAAATCTTGAAGGGAACTAAATCAACAAAAATACATGTATAAAGTGCCGCATTAGTATGAGCATCACGCAGTACTTGGTGTTGTGTTACCGATTACACGGTTTTTTGAGTAAGAAATGTAAGGGTCGGGCGAGGAGGCGGCGAAAATGGTGGACTTGAATTTAAGCAACATTTTCTAACAGGCCCCTCACACCGAGGGTGGGGAAAAAACACACACACGAACTAAAGCGTCAAAGCTCCAGGAAGACATGGGAGCATAAGCATGTCGCGGGTTCGCCTCTGTCCAAGTGCTGCCTGCGGGGTGCTGATCCTGAGCCAGAGTGATGGAGCGATGTGAAGAACCGTATGAGCACTACAGATACAGATCGTTGCAAACAGTTACTTGCTTCAATTCACCTCTCCACACACATGTGGCGTTGAAATGTTGAAAAAGCGCACATGACAAATGCAAAACTCATCCGGCCGTCGACGTTTCCCAAGCGCCTGCAACTGCAACGAAAGGGTCGCCCTGGTCGACCCCTGCGACTCCGCACCTGAGTGATTCCGTGACGATCCGTGATGCAATGTGGTCATTTCTTAAACTGCTACTCATCCAGCATGTCTCGCGGAATGCGTGTACTTGGGGGGCCGCCTCATGTCCGGAGATGAGAAAGTAACATATCTAAAGCCCTAGCGCACATCTTCACGACAAGATAGCGTGCAGGTATTCTATAAGGCGTATAAGGGTTGGTGTTGAATTCCAACAGTCACGCAGACAAAGCTGGTATAAAATGCCACCCAGTGCCAGCATGTTTCAATATGAGGGGAAGAGATGTTGGTTGAGGTTGAAGGGTTGATTGCAAGCCCACTTCTGAGGGCGATGTGAAAGCTTGGGATTTGGGGAAATCCAACCCCTAAGCCTACAAACATTCGGGCCTGCGTCTGGTGACCGACCCAGGTCCATGCAAATTTTGCTAGCGCCGCACTAGGGCCGTGCCAACGCCATCAACCCCCTGTTTTCCAGCCCGAACATGCGCCAACACCATGTTTGTTGGTATGGGGTTTTCTCTAACCTCAAAATGCACCAGCACCGCGCTTCGCAGAGCATTCTCAGCATGGCAGCTTGAAGCTACCGGTCTTTGCTCGAGCCATGGTTCTGGTGCCGCGATTTTTCCCACTGTGGCCCACAGGTGGCTGTCCATGGAGTCCATGGCACAACGCTTCCGTAGCCATTTTGGCTCAAGGGGAAGAGGCACGCTCGTTCCAGCCGAACATGCGCAAAGTGCGGCCATGCAAGCTGGCCTAGTTACATGGACAGCACATACAGCTTTCCTGGGTACATGGAATTCTGCCGCTGCTCTTCTGGTGTCGATGTGACTGTTGACGTGGATGTGCTCCCTGCATGGTTACAAGACTCAGCAACCGTCGAGCATGATAGCCTTCAGAGGAACACACGCCGATACGACTCCATCAAGCATGATCGCCCTAAGGGGAATACATGCTCCATGTCCAGCCGAATATGCGCAAAGTGCGGCCAGGCAAGCTGGCCTAGTTACATGGACAGCACATACAGCTTTCCTGGGTGCATGGAATTCTGCCGCTGCTCTTCTGGTGTCGATGTGACTGTTGACGTGGATGTGCCTCCTGCATGGTTACAAGACTCAGCAACCGTCGAGCATGATAGCCTTCAGAGGAACACATGCCGATACGACTCCATCAAGCATGATCGCCCTAAGGGGAATACATGCTCCATGTCCAGCCGAACATGCGCAAAGTGCGGCCAGGCAAGCTGGCCTAGTTACATGGACAGCACATACAGCTTTCCTGGGTACATGGCATTCTGCCGCTGCTCTTCTGGAGTCGATGTGACTGTTGACGTGGATGTGCTCCCTGCATGGTTACAAGACTCAGCAACCGTCGAGCATGATAGCCTTCAGAGGAACACACGCGGATACGACTCCTTCAAGCATGATCGCCCTGAGGGGAATACATGCTCCATGGATAGCTCCATTGGTTCAGCAGGTTCGCAGTGTGAACGCTGTGGTCTTGCTGGTCTTGGTGGCGCTTGGACGGAAGACGATGGCGTATGCTTTTCCTGTCATTTTCTGACTTGGCGGTTGAAGGTGGCGCCCGCGCGAGGCAAGGAACCTGGATTGGGGTTTGGGAGCCACTTCCAGACTCTTTTCGTGGAGAGGTGCAGACATTGGTCCTGGATTCGGGATTTGATGGCGAGCAATCGTTGCTAGGCCGGATCATCACTTTCGATGCGGCGGCGTCCGGCCACGTTGACGGCGTCAGGGCGTCCGGTGGCATTCGCACCCTTGCAGCCAAGATGCTAAAGCAGGAGCACCGCATTTACCTTGGTGGGGCATTTCGCTACTTCGATCCCGGAGGCGAGACCACGGAGGCCTTGGACACGCCTGTCAGGATTAATTCGGCGGGAGGTCAGGGCGTGGAGACTCCTCCCGATCAGCAGCTCCTTATCTTCGCAGGCAGGCAGTTCGCAAGCAAGCAGTTGGAGGGCAGCCGTGCTCTCTCAGACTACAACGTCCACACAGTGTTGACGCTCAAAGGCCAGCAGTTGCTCTACAACCGCGCGCTCGCAGCCTACAACGTTCAGAAGGAGTCGACGCTCCACCTGGTCTTGCGCCTGCATGGTGACGCGCAGTTCTTCGTGCAGGCGCTGCTTGGCGAGCACCTTTGGTGTTGCGGCTTCTTCTGTGGACACCGTGAAGGCGACGATCTCATCTGGTCAGCGCTGCTCCATCTTCGCAAGCGCTCAGAAGGAGTCGACACTCCACCTGTTCTTGCGGCGCCTGTGCGGTGGCGTGCAGTTCTTCTTGAAGACGCTGAAAGGTAAGGCCATCGACATGATTGTTGCAGCATCCGCCGTCGACGCCATGACGACGCTCATGCATCGCATCTTCGGCGCCTTGGGCGCCGCGCAGGCCCCTTCCTACTCAGAGGGCCAGGCCAAGAAACACATGCTCTGGTGGCACAAGTGCACCGGCGTTCTGAGGACGGTGGCGCTCGCTTCCACATGATCTTCCACCTACAGAGCCGCGAGAATCACCCTAGAGGCATGCTGCCAGTGCCGTTGCTTCCTTCTTTTATTTGCACGTGGACTTTTTGTTCCGTCGTTCTGGTTTCCAGAATGTGCCAGATTTCTGGTTGGTGCCTTTTGTAGATAGGGTGGGACAGCTTTTCACCTGCAAAGTGCGGTGCGCTGGGTCAATCCCCCCCGATGAGGTGCGAATCTACACTGGCATACTCACTCCGAATTAGGTGCATGCCAAAGGCTGCGTCCGACTGGACTCGGTGCCTCGAAAGCGAAAGCACAACGCTTGGAGATCTTGGGGGTCTTGGGGGTCTTGGGGCCAAATGCATGCATATACCTTTGTCTTGGCCCAGGCAGACCAACACTTCTAAAATTAAGGCTAGCACGCAGCCAGTGCTATGCTAGCGCCACAGAGGGGTAAAAGGAGCTGTAGATCATGGTTCGTATGCCCTTCCATTGAACAAAAGCAGTCTCGTTCTATCTGTAGATCTGTAGATGGGCCCTCCAAGACGGTCCAATTGTATCGAGTCGCCGAAGGTCGAGAAGCCTGCGCCGAACTCCTCGCGCTCGGTGTATCGGCTCCGGAAGCCGTGAAAGGTCTGGACCATCACGCGCGGCGCGCGTGGAATGCTGCACACCTCACACGTCTAAGATACAATGGCTACGAGCAGAGTGAAGCATGACCAAGCCTCGGATGCTACGGGCAGTGGCAGCGTTGACATAGGCGCTGTTGCAGCCCCGGCGACCCTAACATGAATATCACTGCCAGATTCGGCAATCGACCAAGATCTATGCTAAATGAGCCAGGTGCGAACAGCACTTCCTCTTCGTATGTTCAGGTACGGCAGGCTTGCACTACTTGAAGCTTCAAGGCTTGCTCTAAATGTTAGTTTATGTATCTTGCGCAGCCCCACGCACAGAAAGGGCCACGCGCGGCAAGAGCCTCCCTCGTGATGAAGCGTGCCAGGCATGCAAGGCATGCAAGCCTTTCCACTGGCTGATTCTGCGCACTGTGTCTTGTGAAAGAGCCTCGAACACGCTTCAAGGCCCCCGCGATTTGCCTCAAGCGCGCTTGCTCAACAACAGTGAGGGAAAGCAAGTGAGAGCAACTTGTGCTTTCTTCACGAGCCTTCTGGACGGTAGTGCTGCTGTGCACCTCCTCGCTGCCACAACCCACACCAGCATAGCCCAGCAGAGCCCAGCATAGCTCACCGGCACTCCTCGTCACCAAGGACCTTCCTTCGGAAGTCCCTGCCAAGTGTGACACATCGGTGTTACATGAAGCCAGCCAACCAGCCTGCGCTGGTACTCCAGCATAAGGCCATGTTTCTCAGCCAGGACTTGCGTCCTGCATTGAAGATCATTGAAGCTCGTGATACTGGTGATACCATGATACCTCAAATACCTCGCACGTGACTAGTCTGATGTCACATCTCCTGACTTCCCAGACTCGTCTGCAATCATGCAGATGTGCCTTTGCTTGGTCCTGGCAAGGCTGAGGCTCAGAGCTCAACAGGGACCCGCCGAAGCCGAAGCCGCCGAAGCTGCCGAAGCCGAAGCCCGAACCTCCCTTTCGGCTTTCCTCGCGCGGACGTCCTCTGCTTTCTGTGTCCTTGAAGAGAATATTGAAGACTTGAAGACTTGAAGACTTGAAGACTTGAAGACTTGAAGACTTGAAGACTTGAAGACAGTTTGAAGATTGAGTTGGCAAGCCCTCCCAAGCACGTCAGGCCATCTCCAAGCCGTAATCTGAGAGTTCCTGATGAGTTCATCTCAGAACCTCCTATGAAAGCTGTTTGGACAGCAGATCCAAGGCAGACTTGTCGCTTGGCTGCCAGTCACTAGCCGCTGCCATTCCCAGATCCGCCGGATCAATTGTCATGTTTGTTGCTGTGGCCATTGAGGTCCCAACCTTTCGAGAAAGCACCTGGCAACCCGTCGACAGTCTGCAGGTCCGATATTTGTTTGCGTCATCCGCTGCCCAGGTGCCTTCTACTGGAGAACGTGGCAGCCATCTGGCGCAACTCCCGTCGAGCAGCTTTGGAGGCCTCCACGCGATGTCCCTTATCGTACGCGGATGAATACGCGCATTAATGTGGGCGCACAATTAAAACTACAAGTGGCTCGAAAGCAGATCTCTGCTGCAATCGTCCCAATCAAAATATGCATCTGTTTTCCTGCGTCCATCATACTGCGCACGCAGCTCCTGTCCACGAAGGGCTATAGCGATACAAATCACAGCACCCTGAAACTCGTTCTTGAACACCTGGCGCCGCTTGTTGCCGTGTGAAGCCATCGCCAATGATCCGGCCATTCGAAGTCTTGAAAGGGAAGATATGACGATCACGATAACGGAATGAAAGGCTCGAGACCTGCAGGAGGGCGAAGGCGGCGAAGCCCTATATTGCTTGGAATGAAGGCAGACAAAGGGAGACAAGCGGAGACACAGGCCGCCCCTTAGATTCGGCGACCCATCCGCCATGAAGGTAGACAAGGGGAGACAAAAATCACCGGAAACCTGGCAGGCACAATTATCTCGACTGAATCGGAAATCCTTGCAGGAACTGGGAACCAGTCTGGGAGAAAAATGAAATCGGCAGATCGCAAGAAAAGCTGGAGAAGTATATGCTGCAAGTCGATAACGATGTCGAAGAATGACCACAGGAGTCGAGAATACTCCTGAAAGCTGCTTGGGAGAAGACTGCGCGTTTGCCTCCTAAACCTTGCTATCAAACAAAAGTTCTAATATACACCTACCACAAGTTGGCGAGAGAGATAGAGGATCTCTGACTATGAATCTTCTGAGAAGTGAAGGATGGGTCATGAAACCAGAGACGAAGTGAATGGACCGGATGCAACAGATGCGATGTGTATCAAAGTATGTACTCTTGAAACAGGTACCACCCAAAGTGGAGATGGCAAGGTACATGGTAGAGGAGGTTTGCGGAGTTCTAGTGCTTCCTGATCCGAAACAGATTTCGAGGACCGATGCGGAACGATACGGAGACATCGATGACTGCGTTGCAGCAAGCGACTTGGAGCTATACGAAGGATAGCAGATTGCTGACAGAGTTGCAAGATGTTGCGCCGGCTGGGCACCAAGGTTTGCAAGTTGAGCATTTGGTGCAAACAGCTCGTCATTGATCTACGAAAGTGAAGATGAACCTGAAAGAGTACATTTTGGACCTGAGATGCGAAGCTGCATTCCTCTTGGGCTGTTCAGAGGAGGAACCCATTCAAGTTGAGACAGAATAAGGACAAGGGGGTGAACCTGTCAATTGAACCTTTTTGTTGAAACAAAGAACTGACGTAAGCAATGCGAACTTGAGCACGAGTGAAGGATGAAGAGAATGCACCCAAACTGACTTGATATGATTGGTGACGCTGCTCCGAGCCGAACACAGTTGCGGCGAGCGATGGCGAGCAACTCCCGTCAAGTCAAGAGTCGCTCTCTCTCTTCCTCCTACTTCTGAGGACGGCGCGGAAGGACAAAACTTAAGAAATGCTCGGAAAGGAATTTCCCCCTGAACCCGAAGTCGACTTTGCCAAGGTCGCAGGTGTGTGCACCCCGGGGTTGCAGTGGAAACAGGGCCAGCGCGGGTGGCAGAAATACTTATTTATGCTCAGTGCCGCTCGGGCAGGCAGCTCAGAAATGTCAGAAATGCGCGGGGGGAGCCAGCAGGTGGCATCAGGAGCCGGAGCGAAGAGGGATGCAGGCGGGGCTTATGGCAGGCGTAGGCAATTGACGACGCAGCCCCCTTATTTAGGGCTCGAGGGGCGCATCTCGACAGTACAGGACACGCCACGTCTCGGATGAGGGGGATGGCCCGTACAGATATGTTTCAAACATGTCCCAACATCTGTGGCCCAAACACTGTGGGGCAGGATAGGGATGTGGCTCGGCACCCTGGTCCTGAGAAGCTTCGCCATGCCTCCCCGGGCCAACCTGGCCACTGCCTGTCACTGCCTTTAGGGAAGGCAGCGCAAGTGCTCGTCTTAGTCTTCGAAGCGGCACCATGCGGCACCCCCGTCGCCGGAAGGAGTGGTGCAGAGTGGGGGGATGCGGCTCCCGCCGTTAAGTTGAGCTCACGTCGGCGTCGCCTTGGCGGAATGTGAGTCCAAGGATGAGGCACCAGGAGAGCAGAGCAGGACTCGACTCCAGGGAACTGCCTCAAGGCAGACAGGCAGACAGGCAAAATGGCTTGGATGGTGGCATGTCCACAATAGGACCCCAAGTCCAGGATTTACACGCTCACAAAGTGTGCGAAGTGCAACACAGCGAGTCACTTTCGATATGCAGTTAACAAGATGAAGTCGTTCAGTAGCGAGGAACCCCCGATGGGCAACACGAGGAAGTGGAAGAAGAGTTGGAGTTGAAAAACTAATCTCGCACCCGAAAGGCCCAGCAATGCCCAACACCTTGTTTGTGTTCAATCCGCAACTTGTAGCTCTTATGATATGTCAGAAAGCACAAAAGAAAACCCTGAGGTATCGTTGATTCACAAGAAGCCTTTCAGGGATGAGCTTCCAAGAACACGGGCAACGATCGGTCATTGAAGTTCGTTACTTCGAGTCAGACTGCATAATTAGGCAGATCACCGAGAAAGTGGACAAAGCTTATCTTGTGGATCGGTCTTTTTGAACGAGAATCAAGGAATGGTAATGCAAAGACCATCGCGCAAAGTTGCAATGGCGGAGATGTCTGGAGTGACTGGAGCGAAGGCAATAGGATGAAAGAAGTGAGCATACTCCTTTGGAGTAAAGGCTGGAAACCGATCAAACAGCTGTCAAAGCGCCCGCGAGAAGCCTTTCCCCGAAATGCCCCCCGGCTCAGCACGCATGCAACTATATTATGTTCATACCGCAGCGTGGATTGTGTCATCCTAGCGATCCTCGCGAGCATGCTCTCGTTCCTTTCGCTTCTTCCCCCTCGCATCCCCTCGCCCCTCGCTGCTGCGTGCCTTTGCGCGGTTCTCGGCGTTCTCGGAGGAGCTCCCGCTCACAAAGGGCGTTTCTGGGCCCAAGACCAAGGGCATCTCCTGGGGCACCGTTTGATGCCCGGCCTCTGCAGAAGGCAGCGAAGAGGGGAAGTAGGGAAGTAGGGAAGCAATACGAGGAATTCATTGATGCCCGGACTCATCAAAATGTGCAGGCAATGTGCTATTTTTTTGCCACAGGCCTCTGCTGGCGCGTCGGTGCCGTCGTTGCCGTCGTTGCCGTCGTTCTTCAAGGCTTTGCAGTCCGACCTGCGCTCAGAGCACATGACTCAGCAGATGACTCAGCCAGCTAGTTGAATCTTTAACCTTTCCGCAGAGCAAGCAGATTGGGGAAAAGCACCCTTTAAACATCCTAGGCCATTTCGCAGAGCAAGCAGACTGGGAAGCAAACGCCTTGCAAGCTAGTTGAAATACGGTTCTCAGAAATTCTATAAAGTGAATTCCGCGAATTCAAAGAAACCTGAGACGCAGAAGTCAGACGGGGAGATCTGCAGCAATGAACATTTCGCCAGCCAGGGTTTCGACATAATTCGCCTCGGTTTCCTGCCGAGAAGCGTCTGCAACAAGCAGACCCGCATCCCACACAAAATTTTGTGACGCGACCCCAATCACTTCGGGGGAGTGCCTCTCAAAACCCCCCCCACCCCCCCCCACCCCCCCCTCCCCCCCCCCCCCACCCCCCCTCCCCCCATCCCGCCCCTTTAACCCCTGCCCTTCCTCCCTTTTTTTGCGAAACTCTCTGGTTTGTTGCGGCTCTTTGCCCCTTTGCAAGCCCTCCCCCTTCAAGAAGAGTTCTGCTTCAACTTATGAGCAACATGTGCCTGCTCCTCATGGACAATCACAGCGGCCGTGGTCAAAACAACTGTTTCTGGCTCGAATCTGAAACCGAAGCCGCCAAGCAACGCATGTGTCGGCGTATACTGAGGGGGAGCCCTTGCCTCAAAGCAAAGCCCACTTAACACAAGCTGTTGACAAGCTCTCGAAACGTGTCTCGCCTTTCGTGTGTCTCACCTTTTTGATCTCTTTCAAACTTTCAACTTTTCGTCTCTTTTCCCCCTTTCTTTTTAAGGGGCTCGAAGCTGGGCCTGCTCGTGTTTTGGACTCCGCATGCATGCCTTCGTCTTCAAGAGGGAAGGAAGGGAGGGGGCTCCGATTTACGCTCCGGGGGGCAAGCCCTGGGTCCCTGCCAGTGGGCCTATCTGTTTCGCTCTTGACGCCTTCAACGGCAAAAGACGTCCTGACCCCAACCGCTGGCGCGCCCTGCGCTTTTGTGAGTGATACTGAGACCTTTTTGTTGATAAGGGCGGGCCTGAGTCTGGCCTTCTGAGAGCCCTCTCTGGCCGCCGCCCTCTCACCGCTCGCTCTGTCTGTTGGTTGTTGTTCAAGTCAGCAATTATTGAATTGAACCAAAAAAAACTCTACCTACGAAATCCTCCAGGGAGCAAGGAGAATGTGGTAGTGATAATTTGGAGAGTGGTTCAAACGGAAAGCAGAAACAATAACGAAACAAGTCTGGGTTTCAATTTGGGTGACGTTGAGAGAGCAGCGTTTCAAGCGATAGGTGTCTCAAAGCCAAGGTCCACTGTGACGCACAGATGTAAAACGACACCAGTCACGACAACAGCATTCTGCACATTCGGCGCTGAATTCTACAGGGCGCAATGCTATGGATATCCTGCAGAGCACGTCCCAGTGCCAGTTCTGACTTCTCCCGTCTCAGCCCACAGAATGGCATAGTTGTGTGCTGTCCCTTGTGGTTGCAACTTCACGTTTCTTGTGCTTTCACCTTGTTGCACGTGGAGGGTGGAGAGGCGAGCGGGGCTGCAGGCCGCAGGCAAACAAAAGGACCTGCAAACAACAGGAGCCTGCAAATGCGAATTGAAGCAAATGCCATCCATATACTCAAGACTTGTCAGCGCTTGCCGATGACTATGTGACGCTGATAGCACGGACACAATATTCCAAATTTAACAAGGTTGACATGCCATCTCATGCATCATGGGGAATCCTTTCAGCTCCTCGTGCCTCGCAGCAAGCTCTGGTTCAACCCGTCCTTGCAGCCTTTCCACGCTGGACAGCCACCTCGAATTCAATCTCACATGTCCCATACAACATCTCTTGCAATTTTGCCCGCAGTCAGACGCACCTCCAAGCTGTGACGCAGCGGGCCTCGTGAAGAAAGCAACAAAGCACCAAAAGCCGGAGCAAAGGACAGCGGCAAACGAAAGAAACAGAAGGAAACCCAAACCAAGGCATGCTGGAAAAATTCGCCGAGGCCTTGGGCCGTATGGGTGGCTAAAAAAGCAGGCACCCCACCTGCCTGACCACTTGCGCCCCCCTGGTAGAGGTGCTGTGGTGTGGGCGCTGGGCCCGAGGGGGTTCGTCCATGGGGGCATTACTGGAGAGACCTAGGACACCTGTGCAAACTGGCTCGTCAGCAACGGATCTAGAGTTCCTGTCGACGGGGTCGCGGATCACAGTTGTTTTTACTTCTTTGTTCCACTCCAAGGCCAACTTGTGAAGACCGGAATTCGCAGGAATCCGCACTTGGGATTCTGCAGGAGATTTGCAGGTCAGCAAAGGCCCTCAGGTCTTGAGCAGCAGCAGCAGCAGCAGCAGCAGCAGCAGCAGCAGGCCAGCAGAAGATACAACCACCAGGAATTCAACTTCCAAACAGCTCTCCCGGCTGATGCTGTAGTTTCAAGGAGCTTCAGGACGATCAGAGGTCTTCGGTGGCAATGTTGGGTTCGAAGGGTTCACTGCTTGAATCGAAGGCCCACCCGAAGAAGTCAAGCTGACTCAGACTGGGGAGCAAGTTGCCATTGGCCAGAGGTCCACGGAACAGCGCGGCCTTTTGACTGATGCCAATCAAACTCTCTAAAAGAAATACTATGTGATGGTGCAGTGATGGTGCTGGTTGCGCCATGACTTATACCTTGCGCAGCGGCGCCGCGGGTCTTTTGCGGACAAGGATAGATTGGCACAGTTGTGTTTCACTGTGTTTCTTGGTGAGCTGGGTGTTTGTTCGAAAGCATTTGTCACACGACACATCATCTCATACAACCCCTGTTGGCATGTGGTCGTCAGCTCTCTTGCAATGCGGATTGTGCGGAGCCCGGGGAGTACTAGGATACGTCGACCTCGCATCATATCTGTTCGAGCAAGAGATAGGAGTTCTGTTGATCTTCCTGAGAAACGTGAGAGCTCATCCTTAGCTTGCGCAGAAACCCTTACTCTCCCATCAGTCTTGCAAGGGTGTTTTGAGCTTGGTCACTTCTGCGTGAGGAGCTGGGGTGACGTGGAACCAGGGGCAGGTCGAGAACGGTCGTATTCCCGAAACTTGGAGGTTCGCCAACTTGACAGGGTCAGACTTTGTACGGCCTGTTCAGCCTGTTCAACCCACTCGCACGTCGGGATGAGGTGAGAATCTGCGGGACAATCTTCGCAATGGCGGGTAGCAGCTGGGTCAAACGATGCGTCTTACAAGAACCTCAGCCCGGCACAGAAAGCGAGAGAGCATTTGGCGGCTTTGAGGCGGCTTTGAGGCGGCTTTGACATGTGTTTGAAATTACTGGTCACTTGGCCGAAGCAGTCGTCCAGCTGCAGGTGCGTATTCTTGAGCCAGATGAACCAAATATGAAATCAGTGATGGTGGGCGAAAGTTAGGATGATTGGGGATGGGATGGCGACTAGGAACTTAGGGGACATGCTTTTGATGAAGCATTCGTAGAAACCTTCCAAGTCCTGCTCCCTCACATTACAGTCGTGTCACAGCAAACCCATCTCTTAACCTCAGGAACCAACAAGAGTCACAAGAGTGAGCAGCCAAAGAGGCCGAAGAGTCCAGCTCAAGCTGCAAGCCGGTCTAGGCAATCTCAGAATCTCCCTCGTGCGTCACCCTGCATCACCCTGCATCACCCTGCATCAGCCTGCATCACCCTGCATCACCCGTGCCTCTTCTGCGACTCTCTCTGTGTTCGCGCGGGCGTAAAAGTCCATGAGTCGCGCCTCCGAGGGACTTTCATGATGAATGGAGTGCAGCTCCTGCGAAACCTCCCACTCGCGGCTCTCGCGTGGCTCTTCCATTCCTTATTGCACACAATTGCACAAATTCCTTCTCTTCGATCTCACAAAACAGCTCTGAAAGTTGAAGCACGGCAAGCACGGCAACGTGTCAAAAGCGCAGGTCGGTCCAAGCTCTTGATGTCCTTCAGCGAAGAAGCGAAGAGGCGAGAGGGAGGGGGAAAACTCTCAGAAACGCGGCGGAGAACACACTGAACACACAATTCGTCACTTCTCAACGCTCCGAGCACGCCTCAATGGTCCGATCGCGTGATGGAGCCTGGAGTTCGGGAAGCTTGGCTGCACACAACATTTGCCCTCGAGTACCATTGTGGAATCACGCAAGTTCACACAGGAACGTAAGTGGAGTTCAAAGTGTTGCGAGCAGATTGACTGGTGTAGCTCCACAGCAGCACCCAACTACAGGAAATCGGAAATCGTGGCCATCTGCAAAAGCGCTTTGAAGCAATTGAAAGATCGCAAGAGCCGCAAGAGCCGCAGGAGCAGGCCATATATCGGAGCCCAGGCACCTCTCTGGCAGCCGCCAGCAGCTGTCTCATCGCGAGCTTCTCCGCCGCGGCACGCTGAGCAGGGCATTGAGCAGGCGAGCAGAGCTCTCTAGATTGTAGTCTACAGTCTACAGTCTTCCTTCTCTAGGAAGAACAAGAGAAAACCCCTCTCTCCGTTCTTCTCCTCCTTCTGCTTTGCAGCCTCTTCACTCCCCCCATGCGCCCTCCCCCTTTCCCCCTTTCTCCTCCCCTTCCTCTCCCTCTCGTGACTCTCCTCCCCTTCCCCTCTCTCTGAGTCTCTCTCTGAGTCTCCCTTCATCTCTCCTTCTCCTTCTCTCACAATAGAAGAAGGCCCGGGCCTTCGCAAGCAGCTTCTTGTCGACAGCTCGGCCCGAGAAGTTGAGACGGTTCCCAAGAATCCATGCCTCAAAATGAGACAACGGGGCAAAACTGCTGAGAAGGTGCTGAGAAGGTGCTGGACATTGCTTCTGCTTCTGTGCTTCTGTCCGTGAGCTATCCTCTTCTCTGTCACAAGTGGTGCACGCAGTGCACGCGCCTCCACGAGCTGCGAATCCACACCGCCTGGCATGAATTCGGGGCAACCGCAGGCAGCCGCTTCGCGAAGCGCAAAATGACGCCAGCGTGCTTGGCAACTTGCCCGTCTGGAGTGCTTCAAGAAGCCTGGACCGCCACAGCCAATAACAATACTGACATTACTCGTCGCCGACTGGCAAACAGTCGGCCAAGGCCGTTTCTCTTGTTGTGGTGCCAGTGAGAGTTGCTGCATGATCTCCTGCATCCAATGCATCAAAAGCCAAGCCCCCAAAAAGCTACGCACAAGGCCCGATAGCCCCAGTGGCAAGTGCCAATCGGATTTGAGTACGTTCGGGCAGCAGCAGGTGCAAGTCAAAGCCTACACACGTGAAACGTGACCGCAACATGTCTGCGGGTGCACACCTACGGGGATGGTTTAAGACATGGAGTGCTTAAGCTGCTCCAGAAACCAAGACCTTCCGTCAACGGCCCCACGGTTCAGTTCAGTCTCTCCAGGCTCCACGAGCCCTTTCAGGGCACGGATCGAATCGTGATGAATAGTGGGGTATGTTGATGTGGAATGTATGCTCCTCGTATCTCCTCGTGAAATGTGCTGCTGCTGCTGCTGCTGATGATGATGATGATGATGATGATGATGATGATGATGATGCAGCTGCAGCTGGCAGTCTGGGCCGTTCTTCTTCCATGCCACCAAAAGAGCACACCGCACTTTCGTGGCCGCCTCGAGCAAAGGAAGGCCGGAGCAAAGAGCAGGTGGCATCAGCAGTGTGGGAGGGCGAGGACCGCGGTCGCGGACAACCGCGCGCACCCTCACGCAGCAAAGCAGCGCCGCTGCCCCTCAAATAAACAACGTCTCAAGGTGGGCGAGGATGTGGCCCAAGCCCAAAACCATGTTCCGTGAACGGATGTAGAATGATGCAGACAAAAGCTTGGATTTTCTGAGCATGCACTGAGCTTGCTGCAGCGCAACGAAATCCCCGCACATCCCACACGAAATCCAACGGCAAGCGCTGCGAGAGTTCGACCCTTTGTGAGCCGCACAACTGAGAGTCGCAGAGAAGTGCCCCCTACCGATCCCCTGTTTTAAAGGGCGCACCTTGTGCACACCCTTTGACACAATTTGTGCTTCAAAGAAGCCTCCGTTCGGGCTTAATTTGACTCCTCGACGTCCGCATTCCTCTTCTTTTTGTTGAGACGCTCCAGCCTGACCCAAACTTGAAGTGGCATTGTGCGTCTTTAGTCTTTACATAAACACCTTCGACATGATCATGTAGTGAGTCGAGATCGCCTCTGGAGCTCTTGCTCTGCATGGAGCTGCGCAAGGCCGGCACGGCGCTGGTCCTCCTGAAAGCAATGAGAAAGCGCAAAAAGGCTCAGAAGGTAGATTTAGCACTTCGACTGCTTCCAGGAAGCCGCACATTTAGAGCACCTTAGAGCGCTGCAGAGCACTGCAGGGTCTCCTCAGCGGACTGCCACTCTGCACGGAACTCCGACGCCCCTCGATGCTTGGTGCCGTTCACTGGCACGACCTCAGATGCCACATTTGTCTTTAATCAAGATTATAGTTACTAAGTTCACATCGGAAAAACCCCTGGAGTTTTTCCACGCCTCAGAAGGCTTCGGATCGCGAGCCCGTAGCAAGAAGATCCCGGCCTGCACAACTCTGTTCTCAGCCTTTGTACTCTCTGTACTCTCTACTCGCTCTCTTTACTCGCTCTCGCTGTCTCTCTCTCTCCCTCTCGCCGTGTGCGGTGCACAGAGGGGACTGTGAGTGCAGAGAACGCAGAATTTCATGCAGTCTCAGACCCGGGCCTTGCTCGCACGAGGCCAGTCCTAGGCGGGTGATCTACGAATTATACACCGCAAAGAGACGAGAGGTTCTTCAGTTGGCCGAATGTCCTCGCAGCGCACACGAAACCCCCAATCAAATGCTCAGGGCCTGGCCAAGCCATACAGGTCCTCCAGTTGTCACTAGATGCGACTAGTTCATACTCGTTACTAGTCACCGAGAACTGCAAACTTGAACTGAAGCACTTGGAGCACTGTGTCTCACTACATTTCAGTCCCAAAGCCGCAGGACGCTGTAGGCCGTGTCGGCATCGTAAAGCTGGTGCCTCTCCGCGCTGAAGCCCAGTCTACATGGACCTCTAAGACTGTAAGCATGGGGGCATAGGGTCTCTGTTGAGAGCTGGGGGCACAAGGGGCACACCGGGGGCACTTAGCGGGGGCACTCACCGGGGGCACTCAACGGGCACTGACCTGACACAGAGCGGTACCGCTGCGTGCGTCTCGAAGTTGAACGTGCAGAGGTGCAAAAGTAGCGCCCGCTGCCGAGCCTCTCGGGGCATCCCGTATCTGCTTTCAATTGACACGCCTTTCATGTTGACACAAAGTTCTGTTTGAAGGTATTCTTTGTCACTGTTGGCAATTTGTTGATGACTCCTGTTGGTATTTGCTGACTTAGGAGCTCTATTCTGTTATCCAACTTCTGAAAGCGCTCATATGAACCCAGCAGAGTTGTCGTGACAAGATGTGACAAGAGCGCAACTCGAAATTGAAGCGTTGATCGATGCTTCAGTGCAGCTCTTAGAATCTGTTAGAACAGACGGGAAAAACAGAACAGATTTGAGCTGCGATGAAAAACGACTTATACAGGGCCCATACAGCCCAGCCCACAGAGCCCCGAGAGCCCGGGGCTTCAGCTCGGGTGATGTCAGTGATGTCTATAGAGCGTCCACAACCAGGACAGTTGTCAGGCTACACAGCTCCGGCCGGACAGCGATACTTCAAAGAGCCCCCATCTGGTCCTGCAGCACCGTTGGGAAGCGCAGTTCAACGAAACGCAGTTGGCTGCCACCTCTTGCTCCCGAGTCGACAGGCATTCACGCTGTAAGCGTCGAGGTTTGTCCTACAACGTCCTACAAAACGGGTCCGTGTAGCACGAGCAGGCTCAATTGATGTCAAAGCTGAAAATCATCATAGCAGTGCTCTGTTTTAACTCTTACGAATGCAAAAAAGTGCAGAAGCTGGGCAGAACGCTGGCCGCCAAAGCTGTTTGTGTCACGCCTTGTGACATCTCCTCCAGACGGACAGGAACCAAAGGCTAACAAAGGATATAAAACATAGCAAGTAAGCGAGGAAACTCAAGTTTAAGTGAACAGAAACCTGTTCTAGCACTACCTTCTTTCATGCGCCTCATGCCAGAAAGCAGTCCTGGTGTCGTGGTGCGCACAGCTCAGCCATGTACAGCCCCCATGCAATCGTACTCTGAAGACGTTCCATGCACCGCGATACCGACGCAACTGAATTTCTGAGTCGCTCCTTCTCCATGCCACCCGCAGCACAAGTCCGGGCGAAAGTCTCCAAAATAGGCGACGGCACCTCGATCGTCTTCTCCTGACTCGAGACAGACTCTCTGTCTGAAAGAAGCTATCTGCATCTCTAGCCGGCTCCTCGCTCGAGAGGCCCTCCAGCAGCAATCCCTCCACATACCCAAAAGGCCAACAAGGAAAAAACCAACACTGATCCCACGCGGTAGGAGGTCGCAAGTGAAGACACTCATAGACAGATACACATGTGGCATTTCCCTCGATGGGGTTGTTTTTCAAGAAATCGAATGAGCACTCCCCCAATTTTCTTTACATTCCTCAGCAAGCGTGAGACATTGGACTGCCGCTTCTTCTGTTGAGTCTCACAAAAACCTCTTGGATCGCAAGATTGCTGCATATTGCAGGTGCGTAGGAAGAGCGTCCTCTCCCTATATCACACTCAATCGGAAGTGTCTTCGTTGGCCTGAGCCTTGCCAATGAGCCTCAGGCCCCCTGCAGATGCGAAGGACAAGGGAGCACAAACACACACACACACACACACACATACACAAAAAACACACACACGCACGCACGCACGCACGCACGCACGCACGCACGCACGCACGCACGCACGCACGCACACACACACCCACCCACACACGCAAACACACCCACCCACACCCACCCACACACACACACACACACCCCGCGCACACACACACACACACACCCACGCACGCACGCACACGCACACGCACACGCACACGCACACGCGGACGCACACGCACACGCACACGCACGCGCACACGCACACGCACACACCGCACACACCGCACACACCGCACACACCGCACACACCGCACACACCGCACACACCGCACACACCGCACACACCGCACACACCGCACACACCGCACACACGCACACACGCACACACCGACACACACACACACACACACAGGTTCGCACCCTCTTTCGAAGGAGTCGTAAGTATCCGGTTTTTCTTTCTTTTGGAGTATCATTGTGACACTCTCAAGTACAGCATAAGAACTGCCATGCACAGGTATGAAAACAAATGTCTGGCCCCAGCTGCATAACTCAATGCCCAGGTCGGCCTTTTGTGCAGGTACGTTTACCTGGCTTCACCACATAGAGCTTCGTTGGCCCGTGATGAGCCCTCGGGCCCCCTGCAAGTTATTTTAACTTAATCCTTTGCAATCAGGAGTGTACACACACACACCTGCCCCGTCTGGGGTCAAAAGATTTTATCTCAACGCACGTTGTCGTTGACGCCAAAAGACCTGCATGCTGCATTCGTTTCTGTACAAGAGCAGGCGGGAAGCCTTGTTGGATGTACTTGTCACACAACACAGACAAGTCTTGACATGTTTGGGCCAATGGAAAAGAAATGCGAGATGCTGAGCACAATCGGCTGTTCAGAGCAGCAACTCTGTGATTCAAGCTTCCAGCTGACAAGTATGGTCGAAACTGGAAGTTGTGTTCCGGTTGGATGAACTCCAACCTTCGATCTGGAGCGTGGAAAAAGGTTCCGAGAAACTGTAAATCGGTCACTGCTTGGAGCTCAACAGGCGTTTTGTAAAAATTGAGGTCGCAAAGTTCCTGGAGCTCTGGGGTACTGTACAACTCAGCCGGTGCAATCACCAGTCGATTGTCGACATATCTGGTGATGTAGATGTGATCTTTGTGTTGCGCGACCCATGCAGAATTTTGGACAAACCACTTCTGAAGATACTGCGATATTCGCAAGTATTGGAGAAATCTGGTTCCCTATAGCGGATCCTCGCACTTGACGAAACACTCTTTGTAGCTGTACAAACATTGAGGATTGCAGAGATAGTTCGCACTGTAGACATCTTTGAGAGGGATGAGTCGCACGGATCCCTTGATGCCTTTTTTGACTCCTTGAAAAACTCGAAGCTTGACGTCTTTCTCATTTGGGAAGACAGAAAATACCAAGCCAGGATTCTTGGTCTTGTCCATGAAGATGTCAATCGCATCTTGAACCGATTCAAGGATTCTGGATGCTGGAATAGACGGTAAAAATCCGATGAGATCTTGGTTGCTTTGCTCCAAATGATACTCAAGCGGCGCTCCTTGCAAAAAAGCGTGGAGGTCGCGAAAAGTCCTCGGCAGTGTAGAGAGCCCGAAAGAGTCGGGGAAAGCCGTGCGCAAGATGACATCCAGGACAAACGACACGCAACGGAAAAGCTTCGAGAAGATAAATCCTCGATAAGAAATGATCGGTCGGGCCACCTGAAATTGCTTTTTTGCCTTCAGGAGCAGATATGAGCTGGGCAGAGGGGCGAGTCTGTCAACTCCCCAATGAAAGGCTTCATCCAATTCGCTTCGGCCAACGAAATTAGGTGTCGTTGGGCTGCAACTGGGACCATATTCTCCAGTGAATACAAAAGAGACAGAAAATGTGTGTGTGTGTGTGATTAGGAGCGTGATCACGTCCTTGAATCACAAAGTTCTCAAGAAGGCTGCGTAAGAACTTGATGTCAACCATGCGAAAAGTGCTTCTGGCCTTGTCCCGACGGCGCGGCCATTCCTTGTGGAGAAAATCGTGCCAATGTTCATAAGTCACACCACCAATATGGTAGTGTTGGAACCATTGCTGCACAAACTTCCAGGTGCGTTGAGCGTATTCCAAAAAAGCAGGATACACTTGGATATCTGCATTGGCTGCCAACCAAAACAGAAGTCTTCGAGATACAGAGAGCTGGTCAGCCGGAGATGCAACGTGCGCTTGGTCGTTAAAAACGACTGTTTGTAGACCAGGGTGTCGAATCAAAGCCTCTTGGCAAGGACACAGCGGCGACGAATCCCACTGTAGTTTCTGTTGCCAACTGAAATGATTGTGGAGAAGTTGGGCAACTGATCGAAAACTGCCAGCCACCACTTTGCAAGTGGGTAGATGGAATGGCACCAACGCAGATTTGAATTTGGACACATGTCACGAAGCCAATCTGAGACACGATGGGAAAATTCGTCATGAGCCAGCAGTGGTAACGTTAAAGGCTTTGGTTTCGGTGGCATAACGCCATCCCGGAACTCAATTGCTTTGCGAATCAGAGATTTTACTCTGGTCCGACGCGGGTCGTCCAGATTATTATTGCTCAGTCGCAACAGTGCATACAGCATACAGATGTTCTTTGGAGTTCGCAGAGCTTCGAATTTTTCGGACCATTTCAAAAGAGGATAGGTCCTTTCTTGCCAGAACAAACAATGTTGTCCAATGACTGCTGCTCGTAAACGTTGACGAGGCATAGAATTGCAAAACGCCTCAGGACAAGTACGTTTAATGAATCCTCAGTCCTTTGCGCTAACGTGCTTGCCTTTTTTGGGCAGGCTTTTTTAGAAGCTGCGTTCGAGGATTCAACGCTTTGGGAATGCAGGCTGTTCTTTCGCGTTTGCGTTGCTTTTGCGGTTGTTTCTTTGTTGCTCCGAACTCATCCTGCAAACCAAAGGCACAGAACATGGCGAGCAAGGCTTCAAAAAAGCTGGTCGCCACATCAGCTTACATTTGAACATTTTATAGAACGACTTCAAACAAAATTCTGTACATATGCACTTCTGCCAGTAAATCTCGGCTTTGAACCCGAGAGTCCGATGTTTCAGCTCTTTCGAGCAGAAACATACATTGGTTGCACTACGGTTTCTGTTCAAAAGCGACAGGATGACTGTTGGAGTCACTCTGCCAAGGCAATGGCGGCGCAAATAATCTTCAACAGCTCTGGCGGTTTTGCCTTGCCTGCAACAGAAATTGGCAACCCGAAAGCTGCTGCTCGATCAGCAAGTTGCTGAAATTTCTTGCTTTGAAAGCTCTTTGAGAGCAGATTGCACGCGCTTGCATGCCGTGAGGAGCTTTGCTCGCGTCGCAGCTCTAATGGTCAATTTGTCAACCCATTTTGTGACAGCAGTGACAGCTTGAGGGGTACCAGAGACAGGAGAAGACACAGCAAGAGTGCGATGGACAGAAACAGCATCAAAAGACACAGCTTTCTGAATTAGATCATCAGGATCTGCTTGTTTCACAGGCAGGCGTGCTCTCTTTTGAGGAGGTTTGGAAGCTGGCGCTTGCGCCGCACGCTTTGCAGCTTCAAGTTGCTGCTCAAGCTCTTGGATGGTGATGCGCAGAATCTTGTTGAAACGACGTGGCTTGGTTCATGAGCCACTTGGTGAAAGCTTCCAGCTTTGCAGATCTCTGCTGATTTTGATCGCCGGAGACCTGGATTTTGTGCTTCGCACAGAAATTCTCAGCGAGTTGGTCCAGGTCCAACTTGGAGTCACGAATGTGTTTATGCACATAATGAAAGAAACATGACTCCTTGACAGAACGAGCAAAGACAATTGAAACGAATCGGCCGTTGGCTAATGTGCGGATGGAATAGTTGTCCATTCCATGATGCGCCAACTCATGGAGAGAGATGTTTCGCACATCTCTTCCTGCCAGGCCGTGTTTTGAGGCCCAGGCTGTGACTGACCAATCATCAGACTGCAACCACCAACGATCATCGGTCCACGAGTTCCAAGCCATTTAACGAAAGTTTAGTGAAACGCTTGGGCTTGGGCAAGAAGCTGGATTGTGCATGGGTTGGCAGGCCCCAGTTTTGGATCCCAAAAACAAGTAGCAGCAAAACTGTGCACACACATTGCCCCTGCACATTACCGGGTGGTACCCAACTAAGAGCAGACAGAAAAAGAGACGCAGAACTTGGGAGAAAGAATCGCAAGTTTTTGCAGCTGCCGAGTTAGCGCGAAGCTGGTGCAGGTGGTCTCCAACTGCCCCAACCTTCGTCATCCAACGCTTCAAGCGAGGGTCGACCTGTAAGGGCTCTGGTTGTAGGCTGAGGAGGAAAATCAGCTGAAGAATGTTCGCAAATCAAGTATATACAGTCGATTCTCGCAGCGCATTCCCGGATGGCCCACCGCTTATCCTGGGAGGCTGCATGAATGAGTGGGTAAATGCGGGTGAGACTGTTTTCGAGCTGTATGTTTGCTCCAGGAGGCTTGCGATGCGCACCTCCAATCATACCCGAAAACACAATACCACTGGTGTTTTTTGTTGACCAGCATAGTCGGCCTAGCCATTCACGAAAATCATCATGCCAATGTGGATTGGCATGACATCTCCCAAAGAAAGACAAGCTATGCTGATCTTTTCGAAGGCCCAGAGTTTCCAGTGCCGTGCGAAGGACACGTCCAATTGTAAGGATTCCGACACTTCCTTCGATGTCTGCGCAATGGGCCCAGGCATAATGTTCATTGGCCCGCTTTTCTGGACCCGGGAAACCAGCAACAGGGAATTCCCAAATTTTGGAATCCTGAGCTGGAACATGGTGGCATCGTGCAGTGCCTTCAAAAACATCACCCAGAGGGAGTTTCGCAGAGAACAAAGCTTTGGCGAATTGCTGCAACGTTGACAACTCCATTGAATTGTACGGAGGATGTACCGGAAACAAGCGTAACAAAGAACCAATCACACCATCAATTTGCATGTTTGTGATTGATGCCCACGGTCTGTAAATTGCACGAGCAGCATTGCGTCGTGACTGTATCCGCCGACCCCAGCCGGGGGCGGCGTCAGTGAAGACCCATTGCCCCTACCACCTTCTCCACCCCATCCAAAGCTCTGGCCCATGCTCCCACTCTCCAGCCCCTTGACCTGCCCCTCATGGACCCAGCTCCCTACCCCTTACCCCTCACGCACCCTGCCGCCGCCCATGCCCCTCATGGATCCATGGGTTCTGAGTGTTTTAGGGGTTCCAATGCACGCCCGCCCTGACCGCTCTCCCCGCTCTCACCGCTCTCATCGCTCCGCTTCCCTATGTGCCCGAGCCCCTCCCCCTCCCAAACCTCGTCCCCTTACCCTTCCACGCCCCCCCCTCCCCCCAACCCATGTCACGCCTCCGCCTCTTCCCCTGTCCACTACCCCCCCCTCTACCCCCCCCGTCGCCCCCCCCTCCACCCCCCCTCTACCCCCTCCCTCTACCCCCCCTCCTCTCTACCCCCCTCTAACCCCCCCCTCCCCTCCCTCTACCCCCCTCTCCCCCCCCCTCTCACCCCCCACTCCCCCACCCCCGCCCCCACCTCCCCCCCACTCCCCTGTTGTCCTCCGCCTGTAGGCCTAGCCCCACCCCCTACGCCGCTCCTGATCAATCTCTAGTGTTTTAGGGGTTCCAATGCACGCCCGCCCTGACCGCTCTCCCCGCTCTCACCGCTCTCATCGCTCCGCTTCCCTCTGTGCCCGAGTCACTCCCTAATCCAACACCAACCCTCACTCCCCCCTCCACAGTCACCCCCCCCCCACCCCACCCCCACCCCCGACATTCCTTCACTCCATCCGCACCCACCCACCCCACCCCCCACTCCCACCCCGCCCCCCACCCCCTCCCACTCCCCTGTCCTCCGCCTGTGGTAGTGTTTTAGGGGTTCCAATGCACGCCCGCCCTGACCCTGCGTGTCCTCTTCCTTCCACTCCCCCACCCACCCCTCCCCCACCCGCCCCCCACTCCCTCTCTGTGCTCCCATCCCTGCCCTCACCGCTCTCATCACTACCCCCTCCCCACCCTCTGCCTAGACCCACCCTTCCCTGCCACTTTTTCTCCACCCACTCTCCACTTACCTCACCTCCTGCACCTACCCCTCCACTTCCCCTCTCACCCCCCACTCCCCCACCCCGCCTCTACTCCGCCTGACCAATGTCGCCCGCCGCCCCTCCCCGCTCTCACCGCTCACCGCTCTCATCACTATCCCCTCCCCACCCTCTGCCCTTGCCCGTCCTCCTTCCCTGCCACTTTTTCTCCAGCTACTTCCCACTTACCTCACTTGCCCTTGCCACTTTTTCTCCAGCTACTTCCCACTTACCTCACTTGCCCTTGCCACTTTTTCTCCAGCCACTTTCCACTTACCTCACCTCCTCCACCTACCTCTCCACTTCCCCTCTCACCCCCCCCCCCCCCCCCCCCCCCCCCCCCCCCCCCCCCCCCCACTCCCCTGGCTCGTACTGCGCATGTCAGGATTCCAATCCAGCCCGCCGCCCCTCCCCACTCTCACCCCCCACCCCCCCTCCCACCCCCCCCCACCCTGCCGCCTACTCTGCCCCCCCCTTCCTCCTGCTTGTTCCAACTTGGCGTCCCCCTGGCCCATGCCCTTCGACCCCCACCACCTACTCCTTCGCCTCCTCCCACCCCCCACCCCTCCTGTAAGGCCTCGCCCCTGCCCCTATTCCACCCCTGACCCAATCTCAGGATTTCCAGTCCCGCCCTGCCCTGACCGCCCCCCCCACCCCCCCCCCACCCCCCCACCCCCCCCCCACCCCCCCGCCACCCCCACCCTGCAGGCCTCGCCGCCCCTGACGTTTTAAGCATTCCAGTCCATGCCGCCCTCACCGCTTTCACCGCTCTCATCACTCCCCCTCCCTATGCCCCCCAGTCCACCCCTCCCTGACACCGACCCTTTGCCCTCAACCTCGACTCTGAAACCCCACCCCCCCCACCCCCCCACCCCCTACTCCGCCCCTGACAAATCTCTACTTTGAGGGATTCCAATCCACGCCCGCCCTAACCGCCTCCCCGCTCTCATCACTCCCCTGCCTTCCGCCCAACTCCACCAACCCTCGACCGTCACCTCCCCTGTCCACCCGCCGCGCTCCACCCTGCCTTCCGCCCCAACCCTCTCACCAGAGCTGGTCAGTCAGGCCCCCCTTTCCGCCAGCCCCCACCCTCTCCCACTCCCACTCCCTAACCCTCCCAGCCCTCATCATTACCCCCTCCCACCATCGTGCACCATCCGACCGCCCCCCCGCTCTCACCGCTCTCATCGCTTCTTCATCTCTATGCCCCCCAGTCCACCCCTGCCTTCCGCCCCCAACTCCCTAATCCGACACCAACCCTCTACCGTCACCCCCCACACCCCCCACCCCCGCCGCCCCCCTTTCCACCCCCACCCACCCCCACCCCCCCCGCCCCCCCCCCCCCCCCCCCCCCCCGCCCCCCCCGCCTGCCCGCGCTCCACCCTGCCTTCCGCCCCAATGCGACTGTCTTGGGTGTGGGGTCGGCGGCACTGGCGGTAGCCATTAAATATATGTATACAAATGGAATGTTTGTATACAACTATGTATATACATGTAGACAGAGAGCATCATGTGCGGTGGCACATTTCACCGCACGTGCCTCATACAGCCCCTCGCACTCGAAACGCTGTGCAAAACCTCGCCTCGGGTTTCCTCCAACGTCTCACTGCACCTGCCACGGACAAGCGCCAGCTGTTGCTTCTGCTATTCAGTTGGTGGCGACCATCTCCACTGTCTTCGCTCGAGATTCGGTCCGTGAGAACGACACAAACCGCACAATCAAGCATTTGAGCAGTTGGCACGCGGCCGTGATCATCGTTCTGTTTTTTTGAGGTCTGGGCTGCGTGTCTGAGGTCGGTACGATGTTGTTAGGCGCTACAACATGGACCTGAAAGCGCTACAACATGGGCGCGAGAGCATGACAGCATGTACTCAGAGACACGGAAACGAGTGAGGGCTGGGGCCAGCGAAAACTCGTACAGCAATTTTGGCAAGGAGCCGCGTATGGGCCGTATGGGCCGACAGCTGGTGTTAGTCCGCCCTCTCAGGAGCCACGCTTGAATCCGGATAGACGGCAATACTTGATTATCCCAACTCTCAGGCAGGACGGGGGTGGGGAAAAAACACAAGGAGCAAAATGCGTGGGAAAAGAACATGGGACTCTTGTCCACGGAAGGAGGCCCATGCATCACGGCTAGCACCAACATGTTTATGATTTGGCACTTGGGCACTTGGATGCACTTGGCCACGATCGGCTGAGGTTGCGGCGCTCTTTTTGAAGGCGATACCCTTTTATGAGCTGCAAAACGGGTGGAGCGGTGGAGTGTTTCTTTGTTCTTCCTTTGTTTTTTGTGCCTCCCTCTTTGGTCGCTTGTTGTTTTCTTGGCTTTTCTTAGGAAAACCACCGTTCCCTCTGCATTTTCAAAGGATTGATACTACTTTCCATAGGACTTCGTATTGTGTGGCGTAACGGAAACCGAAACCCGGGTACATCGAAAAGCGCTCTGACCTCCGGAAGCCTGCCCGGCTTTGTCGCGCAACCCTTCCCCACACACACACACACACACCGACACACACCGTCCGTCACTGACACCCATGAATCAACTCCAAGAGCATGAAATGCGGGAGCGGCAACTGCCCACGGAGTAAACACCCGGCCAGCCCCGTCGAACCAGTTTGGGATGGGGATTAACACAGAAGCTGAAAATCAGTGATGACCTCAAGTCAAGTTCGCCTCGGCTTCCTGCCGAGAAGCGTCTGGAACAAGCAGACCCGGATCGGGCCTCCTTCCCCCTAACCCAACCCTTCCCCCCATGCCAAATTTTCTGACGCCACCCCCCCCCCCCGCCCTGTGGGACCCCCCCCAATCCTTGGAGGAGCTGCAAACCGATGCCGTGGAGGGTCCCGCTTGTCGGTGGCTCCTTTCGGACCCTCAAACACCCCCCCCCCCACCCCCCCCCCACCCCCCCCCCACCCCCCCCCCCCCCCCCCACCCCCCCCCCCCACCCCCCCCCCCACCCCCCCCCCCACCCCCCCCCCCCCCCCCCCAACCCCCCCTCACCCCCTCCCGACCCCCCCCCGCACCTGCTCTGCCCTTCCTCCCTTTTTTTGCGAAACCCTCTTTCCTCCTTTCCTGTCCTGGGGCCGGCCCGGCTGCCGAGGCGGCGCGCGCAAGCGTTTACAATTAAGCAGCATCCATGTAAAAAAAAAAAAAAGTTGTGAATCACGGACATGGATGCGACGGCAACCCTCGTTGTTGGCCGCCTATTGGCTGATCGCTGTACATAAGAGCATGAAGAGGGAGTGATTGTGCGCAGTTGTGGCTCTTCGGCCACGACAGCGGGGGCCCTACTGCTGCCCCCATTTGCCTCAGATTCGGCTTCTCAAATAGGTGCTCATAATATGAGATGTGCTCATGATGATGTGCATCACACCGCGACATGTGTCCAGAGAGGACACGGAGATGACGCCTTTGCAGAGAGCGGTGGGAGCCCTGCAAGCGGCCGGCCAGGTCCTCCACCTCAAAGATCGAGCTCAGCTCAAGCTCTACTCGACTCGCACAAAACGCTTCTTTGCTCTCACAAGTCCTTCCTCTTTGTCTGCTCTGACGTTCTCTTCTTTTCCTTTCTCTTCTGCTTGGGCCCCCGGGCAGCAGCCTTGACGTGCCGGGCACCCTCGCCAGCGCCCATGGCCTCCTTCTTCACGGCCAGCATGCGCTCGGACCTCTGCTGCAGCGCACAGAGATCCCCTCAAAAGAAGGGCCCCCTGCTCCTGGTGTTCCTCCCCGCCTCTCCAACAGCGCCTTCGCCTCTTCGACGTCCTTGCTGGCTCCTTGCACGGCCTCTTTAAGGAAGAATCGCAGACATTGCAATCGTTGCACTGCAGAATCGCGCACTGCGATGCTGCGACGCTGCGATGCTGCGACAGAATCGAAGGGATGCACTCTCCGCAAAAGTGTAAGAGTGTGTGTGTGTGTGTGCACTCAGTGCTTTCAGTTAGTGTGCAGAGAGAAATACTGAGAAATCTCAGGGCTCTTAGAATCTTTAGAGTCTTAGAGTCTTAGAGTCTTAGAGTCTTAGAGCAGACGAAGCTCTCAATTGAAGCCCTCGCTGGAATCTCGCCTGCAGGATGTCCTCCGGCGCAGACGCAGCGTCGATGCCCCGCTGGCACGCGGCGGTGCTCGACTCCTGCGCCGCGCTCACGTGAGCCTCACGGGTCTCCGCCGTCTCCGCACTTAGTTCTGTGCACTGTTTTTGCAACAATGTTGCACTTAAGTGTTGCCTTGCTGCTGTCGTTTTGTCCTTCTGTTCTCTTCCCTTTCCTCTAACCTTGGCAGGTCCCCTTTCTTGGGGCGCACCCTTCAGGCCTCGGTCGTCTGAACCTCGGCGGCCGCCTCCTTCAGCAGCTGCTCCACGCCTCAAGCTGAGAGAGCTTCGAGAGCGCGAAGGCCAGCGAGACAGACAGAGAGACGGAGAGACGGAGAGACGGAGAGACGGAGAGACGGAGAGACGGAGAGACGGAGAGACGGAGAGACGGAGAGACGGAGAGACGGAGAGACGGAGAGAGAGAGCGAGAGCAAAAAAAAAGAAGAGAGAGACAGAGAAAGAGAGAGGGTGGACATGGGTGGACATGGGTGGACATGACTCATCATGAGTGGACAATGAGCGGAGAGGGGACTCTCGAGGTGGTGATCCACCGCAGAGCTGCCGGCGCGCCAGCTCCATTTGTCGCCGGCGCTCGGCTTCCTGCTCGCAACAATTCGGACCCTCCACAGGCCTGGAACCCAGGGGAGGCTCCGCAAAAGGAGCAAGTACAAAAAGTGATGGAACAACAGCAATAGTATTTGAAACATTGCCCTTAGCCTTAAAATGCTTGAGCTACATGAACGCAAATACATTGTACTACATGCTGGCAGATGAAAGGCGAAAGCAGCGCAACGATCATGGTAGCCAAAGCAACCCGGCGCAATTTTGAGCATCTTTCTGATTCTTCCATGCAACTGACAAACATGTTGTGCACACTTCATGACACATCTTTGTTGTAGTCAAGTGTCCAAAGTCTGAAACGAACCAATGTTGCACAAATGTATGCATCTTTCTTGCAACGGTGTCTGCGTCTTTCTTGTTAAGTGCTGGCAAAGTGTGTCACATGCTGCCCTTCAGGCGGAGCGGTTTTTGCTGCATGGTGAGTTCACTCACCGAAGGTCTCTGGCTCGTGAGAATCTGTGGCTCCTGCACTTCCAATAGCTGGGGTTTCACTCATACATGGGTATGTGCCTAGATTATAAGGGCCTATGTACCTCCCCTAATTATGAGGGAACTCCATTATAATAGAACCCCCAAAAGGGACCCTAGTTTAGGCACATACCCACATGTTTAACTGGCGGTGTACAAGCTATTGGAAGCGCAAATGCCCCAGGACACTACCCTTTGCAGCCACAGCACTTTGCCACGACTGGTGGGCTGCACCCGCCTTCCCTACTCAGCCAAATAATGTGTACTGAAACTACACGGACTCCAGCTTCACCATCGCCATCATTGAACAGCCTGATTCCTACTGCCGATGTATCTTGTGAACACAGTTCCTTTGAGGAATGGTCCCTTGTCAATGATGATGGCTGTAGAACAACAGTCAATCTGCTTCAGCAAACACATCGTGACTCACAAACAAAATTGACTGACGCATGCACGGACTTCTCGAGCTGGACATGTTCGGAGATGGGGCAATGTAGGTCAGAGCTGCAGGGGGAAAGAGGGCTGATATGAAATAAGGGTTTTGTTACATAATTTGCTCTAAAATATGTAGGGTAGGGGGTTAAAAAAAACATCAAATCCATAACAGTCTTGTCCTTGGTTTGTCTGTAGTTTGGGGTGATTGTTAAGGTGGTTTTTGCTGGGGAGCCTTCTCCGCAACATGCGAAGGGGAAGAGTTGGAAGAGGGCGAAGGACGAAGGAAGGGAGAAAGCGTGCGCTATGGAGCGCCTCCCGCTGCTTCAGCTCCTCGGCGATGCGCTTCTGCACCTCTCAAAGCTCTGAGAATTGTGAAGGAATTATTTAGGAAACCAGCATCCCCCTTTTGCCATGTTCTTGCGAAGCCTGTGTGATGGTGTGCTGCATTTCATCATTGACGCGGTCGCGCAGCGCCCCCATGGCCTCTGTCAAGAAGCGAAATCTCTGTCTCCGTATGTGCTCTCGGGCTCTCGGTGTGCTCTCCGACCGTGGCCTCTCGGCCTTTGAGATTGCCCTCCCTCTTACTCTCGAATTCGTTCGCGACGCCTTTTGCTCTATCTATTTGCTTTTGCTTCTAAGACCGCGCTCTGCCTGGAAGTTGGCGGCCGCCGCCTTGTCCAGCTCGGCCTTCGACACAACCATGCTCAGAGCACAAAACCAAAACAGTGCTTCGAGCACAACAGTGTGTTTTCTCTGGGCTCCGCGGCTCCCCATACGCCCCGCACACTCTGAACAAAACATGCAAAAGCCCAGGTTCCTCTCACATACGCTCTCACATGCCCTCACATTCTCTCACACCCTCGCGTACCTGGAGGCCCTTCAAGTTATCCGGGGTCGCGTTGCCTCGGTGTTGGCTTTGCGCCTTCGGTTTGTTTCTCAACTTTCAAGCCTTTCGATGACAAGCATGGGCTGTGTTGTTCTAGGCTATTCAAGAAACTTGCTAAGGCGTTGGCGGAGCTTCTTCAACACCTCGCGCACGTTGTTGGCGGCCTCCTGCCAACTCCCCACGAAAACTATTTGCTTGCGTCGGTCCTCCCCACGCCAAATGTGGGAGACATCTTGCCTTTTCAGGATGCTCCAGGGATTGGGGGGTGCACGGGCGAGGGCGGCGAGGCTAACTCCGAAGGTCATGAGAAAACGAAGAGACACATGAGAAGGTCACGTGAAGCATCTGCGGCGCCTCCTGCTTCCGCTCCTCCTCCTGGCGCCGCCGCCGGGCTTCGGCCTCTCGTCGCGCCTCCGATGCGTTGTGACACATCGTGAGATTGTTGCTAGATTCAACACTTGCCAGCTCAAGTTGGAAAGAAAGCAGGAGACAAACCGTTGCATCCCTTTTCCCTTTTCCCGCACACCATCCCGGACCATCGCCCCCCGCCCCCCCTCCCCCGCCACAACTCTGGGGGAGAGCGGCAATCTTTGCCTTGCAAAAAGCGGCGGGCGTGATTCAACTTGAGGTGAGACAGTTGCACTTGAGATCACTTGAGCGATGTACTGAACTTTGCAGCTGGACTCCATTTTTGAGGACCCCTTTTTGGACCCATTGGACCACGCTCTCTGAAAGACCTCTGCCCGCACACACCTTGGCCGGAGATGGTGCTCCGCAACTTCCCCCAAGAGCCGCAGCTCACCCACATTCGCCTCGGCTTCCTGCCGAGAAGCTGGAACAAGCAGACCTGGATCCCCCCCCTGCTCTGTGGGACTCCTACAGGGCCTCAAAATGCCCCTCCGCGCTCCCTCCCCACCCCTTCCCCCCCCTCCCCCCCCCCGACAGCGTGAAAGAGAGAAAGGGACAGAGGTGAACGAAGAAGAGAGAGATGAACGAGCAAGAGAGAGAAAGAGAGAGAGAGAGCGAGAGAGAGAGAGAAAGACAGCAAGAGAAAGAAAAGAAGAGAAAGGTGAAGGAGAAAGAGAAAGGCGAACGGGAAGAGAAAAAGAAAGAGAGAAAGAGAAAGCGCCAGAGAAAAACAAAGACGGTTTACGCTCCTGAACCTGCCTGATCACACAGCACAGGACAGCATCGAGTGGCCCAAGACAAAGACAAAGAGAAATCAAGAGAAAGACAAAGACAAAGAGAAAGAGAAAACAAAGAGAAAGAGAAAGGAGAAAGAGAGCACTTGCGTCGCGACACTTTTGTCTCGCGAAGCGTAGGTCTCGGAAAGGTGCCGGCATTTGCCGGATGGGTTTGGCCTCCACGCCCGCGGCGGCTGGGCAGCCGCAAGGGATCTAGGGCGCGGAGGACTAAACCAACCCTGGACAGGGCTAAACCACAACGAACCTTATCGGGCGGGGGGGAGGGAGCCGAAAAGGTCTTCGAGCAGTCGCTCGTAGGTTTGCTTGCGAAGTGCTAGCGCGCAGCACTTTCGTCGCGACACTTTTGTCTCGCGAAGGCATAGGTGTCGGAAAGGTGCCGGCATTTGCCGGACGGGTTTGGCCTCCAGGCCCGCGACGGCTGGGCAGCCGCAAGGGATCTAAGGTAACCCTAGGGGCGCGGAGGACTAAACCAACCCTGGACAGGACAGGGCTAAACCACAACGAACCTTATCCACCCCTAAATTGCTTCGGGCTCGAAAGCGAAGAGATGAAGGCATGGATGACTTTCTGCTAAACTCCAAGTCACTCACTTTTGCTTGGACCGTAAAGGCGCTGTCGGTCAAACATGAGACACAAATTCCACACATGCTTCCTCAACCCTTTGGGTTGGTAGGTGGGGTTCCCAGGTAGTAGAAAAACTTTACACCCCGCCTTGATGTTGTGCGAACTGTAAGCTCAACATCACCTGTACACTAGCGGGTTCCACTTTGTCGTTGGGCTCATCTGGTATTGAGCGATGGCCTCGTTGTGCTCTCCATTCTGGAGTTCCTGCACTTGGTGAAAACTGTTCCTACTGTTTCCTCGTAGGCAACACTTCGCTCAGGTAAGCTTGTACTCGTCGTAGCTCACTCTGTACGGAAAAAAGTGAAACTATTCACATCTTTCACTCACATGGTCCCGGGCTGACAACTGCCACAAGGACGGTAGTGCAATCTCGCACGCACTGCTGCACTGTAAGTGAATCTCCTCATCTGCACACGTAAGTCTGTGATACCTCTTGCCATGAGGCGTGTACACATACTGGGGTTGTGCTCGTAGCTGTTCGTCCACGTCCTGCTGCGCATAGGAACGATATTAATCATTCCCCATTCTTGAAATCGCCTTGCAAGCTCTTCGTCATTCACATGGATTTGGCTTGCTGGTACTGTACTGATTCCAGGCATTCCATCACCACTGCCTGTCGCTGAATCCTCTTGCGCACCACAGAAATACATGTTGACTGCCCTTGCTGTACGGGGCGGACAATACTTCTGCACAAATTGCCTTATACTGAACTCTTCCTGCGGCTCTTCGGACTGGTAGTAGTGGCCAAATAAATTAACTGGTTCCTGTGGCCCTTCTTCCTGCGGTTCCTGTGGCCCTTCTTCCTGTGGTTCCTGTGGTCCTTCTTCCTGTGGTTCCTGTGGTCCTTCTTCCTGCGGTTCCTGTGGTTCTTCTTCCTGTGGTTCCTGTTGTCATTCTTTTTGCGTTTCCTGTCGTCCTTTGTTCACCTTCTGCTCAAACTGTCAGGCTGAAGCTGAAGTTCCTCGAATTTCTTCGGGCGCTCAGGCAACCAACCTAAAGAAAGAGAACGAGGATTAAAAACAGCGTCAGTGCATCCGGCACCGGTCTCCGAGCCCCAACACCTAAAAGGAAAAGTCCCACCCCCAGGCTTGGCGCTGGCCTCCGGCCTGCACCCACCATGCGACCGCGAGACCCTTCCCACTCAGGTGGTCCCCTCGGGACCGTTCTTAGACCTGGCTTTCCACTTTGGCTTGGGTCTCTCGGCCTGATCTCGTCCTCGGCGGCGCAGTGGGCGGGTAAGGTTGGAGAATGGATGGAGGGATGTCTGGGGACGCTGCTCACACCACCCACACCACCCACACCACCCACACCACCCACACCACCCACACCACCCGCACCACCCACACCACCCACACCACCCACGCCACCCACACCACCCACACCACCCACACCACCCACACCACCCGCACCACCCACACCACCCGCACCACCCGCACCACCCACACCACCCACGCCACTGCTGTGGCACCACGTGGCCTTCCGCGACCGCCTCACGGCAGGACTGAACTGCCAAAATTTGGCTCCGGCCACCCTCTTCGGAGTCGACAAACCTCTTGAAAGCGCTGGGACAAAGTACTGTAAAACCACCGGGGCGTACATGGACCAAAAAAACCACTGCTCGCCAACCTTCTTCCCAACCAGTTCTTCAAAAGGCCCCGGTCCTCGGCCTCTTGGAGGGCTCCTCGATTCATAGCTCTGGCGGCCATCCCCGCCCGCACCACCCAAATAGGCAGTGGCCTCTGCGAGTGAGCCGAAGGAATGCGATACCGAAGTTGGGCAGAAGGCCTCGCCGTCCGCGCCACGGATCTCAGCGAAGCGCACGTCTCGATTTGGCTCGCGCCCCGGGCTGAAACGTACAGGCAGAGTGCAATCGCGTAGTTGGAGAGTGAGCTCCTCAGTCTCTTGCCCGCCTCCAGAATTTGCTCTGCGAAGAGTAGGCCTGGTAGGTACTCTCGAAGTCGCCTGGCTTGCTCTGCTCGGCGTCGCACCACTGGATGTTCAGGCCCTTCGTCCTGCAGCCAAGCAGCCAAAGAGCGAAGCAAGCGCCCTGCTAAGGCCCGACAATCTGCGGAAAGAAGCAGGCCAGTCAAAATGCTGCCCAAATAGGCAGCCTACACAGCAGCTGAAAGTCAACAGCAGAAGACGGGCCAAGAAGGACTATGGCTGGACGAGGCCAAATACACCCGAAGTTCACTGAGCACGGCAGGCACTAAAGAGAGCCACATGAGCCGAAAAGGTCTTCGAGCGGTCGCTCGTAGGTTTGCTTGCGAAGTGCTAGTGCGCAAAGAATAAGAGAAAGAGAAAGAACAAAACAATGACAAAGAGATAGTTAGTTATTTAAAAACTTAAATTTTTGTTAAATAATTTTAAAATATTGTTTAGCTTTTAAATGAATTAAAATACTATTTAAGTAAAAGATTTTCATTATGGTTACTGAAGCAAAATTAGAAACTGGTTATATTAGTCAAATTATTGGTCCAGTTGTAGACGTTACTTTCCCAAATGGTAACTTACCAAAAATTTATAATGCACTTGAAATTGGGTCTGGGGACTCTAGTATTGTTTGTGAAGTGCAACAATTATTAGGTAGAACAAGAAAAAGACAAAGAGCAAGACACAGAGAAAGATACAAAGATGAAGAAGAGGAAAGAAAGAAGAGGAAAGAGAGAGAAGACAGAGAAGAGGGAGCAGAGATGGAGAAAAAGACAAGAGAGAAGAAAGAGAGGAGAGGGAGAAGAGAGAGAAGAGAGAGAAGAGAGAGAAGAGAGAGAAGGGAGAGAAGAGAGAGAAGAGAGAGAAGAGAGAGAAGAGAGAGAAGAGAGAGAAGAGAGAGAAGAGGGAGCAGAGAGGGAGAAAAAGACAAGAGAGAAGAAAGAGAGGAGAGGGAGAAGAGAGAGAAGAGAGAGAAGAGAGAGAAGAGAGAGAAGAGAGAGAAAGAGAGAAGAAGAGAGAGAGAAGAGAGAGAGAAGCATAGAGGATAAAAAACAAGAGAGAAGAAGAGAGAGAGAAGATAGAGAAGAGATAGAAGAGAAGAAGAGAGAGAAGAGAGAGAAGAGAGAGAAGAGAGAGAAGAGAGAGAAGAGAGAGAAGAGAGAAAGAGAGAGAAGAGAGAGAGAAAGAGAGAAGAGAGAAGAATAGAGAGAAGAGAGAGAAGGAGAGAGAGAGAGAAGAGAGAGAAGAGAGAAGAAGAGAGGAAGAAGAGAGAAGAAGAGAGAAGAAGAGAGAAGAAGAGAGAAGAAGAGAGAAGAAGAGAGAAGAAGAGAGAAGAAGAGAGAAGAAGAGAGAAGAAGAGAGAAGAAGAGAGAAGAAGAGAGAAGAAGAGAGAAGAAGAGAGAAGACAGAGAAGAGGGAGGAGAGAGAGAGAGAGAAAAGACAGAGAAGAGGGAGCAGAGATGGAGAAAGATCTCTGTGCTTATCGAATGGCTTATCGTCATGGTGGATCCGCCGGGCTTTCCATTGTGTGGGTGTTTCAATATTCCCTGAAGGCTTCCGCATTTCCACTTCGTTTGGCCCGCCAAATTTGCTTCTTTTAACACCCGGCTGTTTTGGGGGGTTTTGGCGCCCGTACTGCAAAGTGGTCTTCCCAGCGCTCGGGCCAAAAATGGACTTCTTTAAATCTCGGAGTGTATTTCTCAAACCCTCGGATTCTTGCACTTGTTTCACCTTACTTCACCTCATCTTATTTTGACTTATTTGCACTTCCAAATGCTCTCGATGTACTGAGCATCTCTTCGACCTCCATCGGCCCCCTGGCTTTGCTCAACAGAAGGTAACGTTGGCAAAAGCATACAGATCAGAGCTCCCAAGCTTGCACCATAGCGAGGAAGGAATGACACTCGACTTCAGTGATTGCAGACGTCCAGACACAAAAACAGCGAAGTGGGCGCCTGCTCCCGCTGCTCCTCCTCGCGCTGTCGGCGCCGGCGCGCCTCCTCACAGCGATTTTGAGCGTTGCCCGAAGTGCTCCAGGATGCTTCAGGATGCTTCAGGATGCTTCAGGATGCTTCAGGTGCACCAGTCGCTGGGCCTCCCGTTGGCGGCGCTCCTCCTCCTCGCGGCGACGCTTCTGCTCCTTTCTCCACAAGCATGGGGTCGTGTGAGCGCGTGTGTGTGTGCGAGTGCGGGTGTGAGCGCCTGTGGCCGTGCGGCAGCGCACGCATGTGTGCGCTTGCGCAAGTGCGCTTACACGCGCGCCCGCGCGCCTGCACGCGGCTTGCGTGCCTCCGCCCCTGCACGCCTGCGTGCCTGCCTGCATGACTGCGTGGCGCGTGCGTGACGAATGCGTGACACGTGCCCAAAGGGACCAGAGCAGGCAGATTCCTTACGGTTGTTGACGAGAGACAAAATCCACCGATTCATCACTTCAAGAAGTTGCCCATATCGGCAGCGGAGGGGGGGTTGACGATTAGAGAATTTGCCGATATCGACAAGTTTGGTGTCCAAAGTGGCAACGAAAGTTTAGACGCAGCTTGGTGGAATTCGACGGAAGTTTGATGGCCTGTGAGGAAGTTTCAGGGTAGCAGTTTCCCAAACCCCTTGGCAGATCCAAAGGATGGATCCTGCAAGTCGAGCAGTTCACAGCAGTTCCAAGAGCGGTTCCCTTTTTGGCGGCTGCATTTCAGACGTACAGCAGTCGATGTACAGAAGTGCATGGAACACCATAGCTGTGCCGAAATTCGCTGATGTGGCTCAAACACTTGACCCGAAACAAGCGCAAGCTACCATACAGGCAAACTATCAGCCGTGCTCATCTTGAGCCAAAACGTAAATTATGCACAAACAGGCAAAGAACCTACAGGCAGGCAGCAAGGGCCTCTAAGGGCATACACCGACAGCACAGCTGACACTGACACGCTAACTATACTTTGTGAGCACTCACATTTCGCCCCTCAGCCGAGCCCTCAGCATTTTAGAAACAAACCGTGAAACCCCCATAGGCCCTGTGCCATAGGCTTGTTACTTTTTGAGAGCAGGAACGACTTGACAGGATTCATGACCAAAGACATATTCGTGAAAATTGAAAACGAATCAGGTGGAACATCTGAAATACCGAGCGGATAGGGTGAACAGGCTAAATTTAAAAAATCTGTCGTAATGAACTACAAGACAAGTTGATGACTGAGAAGACGTGTGAGGTGATCAGACATGGACAATTAGTGGAAAGTGACGGTGAAAATGAATAAGGTTGCTAGGGTCACATGTTGATGAAAGTGAATGAGGTGACGTTGTTCGGCAATGTCACGGAATAATGAACATGAGAGGGGGAAGGACTGAAGCGAACGATGCCGACTGCGCCGTCTCCCGCTTCTCTCCCGCAAGTCCTCCTCGCGCTTGTCCCGCAGATCCCGCTCCCGCCGCGGAGCGCCTTGCCAAAACACTATAGGGGCCAGGTACTCACCGCAACTGAGCAACTGAGCAACTGCACTCTCCCGACCTACACTGATACGCAGCTTCTCGTCCACCTTGCCATCCCAAGGCACCTGCACAAAAAGCATTTCCAAGCGCAAATCCTCTCATCTGATACTCAGAGTCTCCGTCTCCGCGCCCTCCGCGCCCTCCGCGCCCTCCGCTCTCCCCGCCTTCCAAAAGGAGGTCGGGGGCATCACGTTCTCTCGGCCAAGGTTCCCACCATTGTAGGCCCAGACTTGGTCGCCACCCACCTTCGGGCCGAACCACCAGCCATTGAAGGAAGGACCGTCGCCTAGAAAGAGGATACAGTCGGATACAGCACTTCTAGAAGTGCGGAGTCTCAAGGCTGAGAACAGGAAAACGGCAACAGAGGACCAGCGAGGGCCGAGCGCTCGTCCCAGTAGTAGATCAGTACCGTCACGCTGCCAGGGGGACCCTCCTCGTACGCAGAAAGACGCAAATTGTTTCTCTGATAGAACCTTTCCTGGCTTCGGCCTGACCGTTCTCCTCTGTATGTTTTCTTCAATTCGCCTCTTCTGACGCGCCTTCTTGTAGACAGGCTTGCCGTGGTTCGACTCTTTTGTATTGTACAAGCCTGTGAAAGAGCATGACACTGCACTCAGAGGGCTCAGAGGGCTCCGTGCTCTGCACAGGGCCTTGGATGATGTTCGACACTGTCTCATTGCTGCAGCCGGTCACATGGATCGATGGCTCGGGCCTCAAGAATTTTCGGATTCTTCGAAATCTCGATAGCCCCAAGACATGAGGAAGATGATAGGAAGATGATGCGTTGAGCAGTGTATAAATCACACTCAAAAAGACCATCGCCATATTGACTGCCAGCCACCCACTCGCGGAGCCAGACACGGAGGCGGGCGGTGGCACTGCAGCGCCTGGGAGAAGTGTGAGCGTCTTGAGGGAGAGGGAGGGAGAGAGAGAGAGAGAGAGAGAGAGAGAGAAAAAAATTCGGAGTTTCTCGGAGAAAAAGCACACATGCACAGACATACAGGGCTGTCAGATGCTTTGAGCCGATTCTTCCGCGCGGAGCTCTCTGGCTCTGGTGTGCAGCTCTCTGGTGCAACGCAGCCAAGGAGCCACTTCGCCGATCGGGGCCTACTGTCAAAAACTGTCGTTTCGACCCCCCAAAGAGCGAACAAAACGGAGAGAACACCTTTCAAACAAAAAAGACAACACGCTTACACTTACCCCACATTACACACCGCCGCTCCTCGGGGAGGTCCCGGGCGGACGTGAGGAGCTTCAACATGGCTCCTCTGCGTTACACCGCTACATCCACACCGCTCACCGCTCCCACACCGCTCCGACTCTCACTGCAGCCGCAGAGAGGTCACAGGGTGCGAAGTGCTCTGACTCTGAACTCTTCACTGTCCTCGGATCTCTCCTGCGGTCGTTGGGAAGCTCCCGCCGATCTCCTCATAGAAGGCAGAGTGCATTTTTTGCAGAAACAACTCTCTTTCGAACACCATGCATATGCAGGGCGGCGGGCGCTTGTGTGCACAGGCACTTGCCTGTGCGCGTGTGTGCGAGTGCGAGTGCGTGCGTGCGTAGGTGCGGGTGTGGGTGCGTTGGCGTGTGCGTGCATGGTGTGGGTGTGTGGGTGTGTGGGTGTGTGGGTGTGTGGGTGTGTGGGTGTGTGGGTGTGTGGGTGTGTGGGTGTGTGGGTGTGTGGGTGTGTGGGTGTGTGGGTGTGTGGGTGTGTGGGTGTGTGGGTGTGTGGGTGTGTGGGGGTGTGGGTGTGTGGGTGTGTGGGTGTGTGGGTGTGTGGGTGTGTGGGTGTGTGGGTGTGTGGGTGTGTGGGTGTGTGGGTGTGTTGGCAGTGTGTTGGTGTGTGTTGGTGTGTGGGTGTGTGGGTGTGTTGGTGTGTTGGTGGGTGTGTTGGTGTGTTTGGCGTGTTGGTGTGTTGGTGTGTGGGTGTGTGGGTGTGTGGGTGGGTGTGTGTT